AGATTCCCCTTCGAGACAAAGGCAATGCCCCCGCGGTTGGTGGACAACTGCTGCTTCTGAACAAACGGCAAGGATGTCTTGTCCTTGGCAACGAAAGGATGGTCAGATTGCAGCTGAAGGTCCTCCCATTTACTAACTCTGCTTGGCAGACTTCTTTTTGGGCTTCCACGGGTCATCAACTTGCCAGGGATCAGTTGGCTGCATCGGAGTGTCGGTGCTGGCCTGCCCTTCCATGCCTCCTAATGAAACTGCAGCACAGGGTTGAAGGAAGTGAATTCCCCCAACAACCAAGAATAGCCTCCGAAGATTTTCTGCAAACGTACGTAGCATGGGTGGTGCTCCAGCAGTTCTCCAAGCCTGATTCGATTCATCAATGATGACATCAATGATTTGCCGCTTCTGATGTGGCACATGAAATGAATCTGGCAAATGGATGTCAACAACAATCCATCGGTAGAGGAGTTCCCAGCCACACATTCCAGGTCGGGTCCGGTTCGTGTCAATGATCACAATGGGCCGGAAGCCAAAGGGAATGATGTAGTCAATCGCAAAATCATGCCAGATTTGCTGACCCCTTGGTGGGACTTGGAGGAAGACTGCCCTGCAGGTACGTTCATGGGCATTACACACCACCTCAATGCCAATCCAGTGTCCTTCACGGAGTGCAACAAATCGCTGAATCTCACTGCATGTGGGTTTGACACTTGGGGCAATCAAGGAAAGATCATGATGCAACACCGGCGGACAGAAGGTATCTGGCAGGAAGAAGGACATCGCAAACTCAATCTCATCGCTGGCAGCCTGTTTTTTTGCGGTAGATATTCAACCGCATGTCAAGCCAGTCTTCTGCAATAAAGAAGATCTCCCGAATGTCATAAGCATGCATTTCTCTTCCAGTGGCCCTCAAGATCAAATCCGCTGCTCGACTCGGAGATTCTGTGATCGCCAGGAGGAAGGCAGTCCGTGATGCTTGAGCAAATTGGATCATTCTGTCATCAGCTCTTGTCTCCCTCCACACGAAGTCAGCTTGATCAATGATTTGCATCACATGAGTGGAATATTGGTCCCTCTGTAGCCTTTGCGTGCTACGATGTGAGGTTGGCAGCAGCGGAGCTCCTGCTCGGGCATAGAAGGTTCGCAGCGTATGCCACGGGGCTAGCTCAGAGTCTTCTGCAGTTCGAATCCAGCGATATGCATTGTGTGCCACTGTAATTCCCATCACATTCACCAACTCAAGTACAGCTGTAGTCTGCCGAATGGTGAGCTGTTCCGGTGAATGGTAAAGCACCCTCCATTGGCCTTCGAAAAATCGAACTTCCACAAAGATCCAGTCAAAGACAACAAGAATGGGCACTACAAAGTGTTGGTAGCACAACTGGAGATCTGCCGGGTGAGTAGGGAACCTGAACTGCGACTCATTGTTGACCCACAGTGCTGGTGGGCACCAGCAAATGGGCGGCATGAGCATTTGCAACACATCAAAATGATAGACCATCTCATCCAGTGCCAGCGAGCCTGGTTCCAGATTGAACTGGAGAAGTCGTGCTCCCATGGTGTCATTTCGAACATTGCAACTGGATTGATCAGCAAGCAACCAAAGCTCAGAGGAACCACGTTGCGAACCCTAGTGTCACTCCATAGCACATCACCATTGATGAGCATCATCGGCTGGTCTTCCCTGCACTCAACTAAGTTGCGCAGAGTAATATGACATTGTTGCTCCAACAGGTCATTGCACTGGCGTGGTGTGAGCGTTCTTGGAGCTTGGCAAATTTTGCACCACCGCAATTCCTGACCCCCGGCCAGGAGGACCCACTTGTTTGGGCTGATGGGATCATACACCCCTTGAATTGCCATCACCACATGGACTCCAAGAAGCTTTAGACAAGCATCTTTGTTGGCCTTGAAGAAGTGAACTGACGACTCGTGATGTCGAAAGGAAGGAATGCTCCCCAGTCGATCCAAGTTCGCATTGCTAATCCATTCATATGTTCCGTCTTGCTGCAGCAGGAGAACTTTCCCAGTCTGTTTCCTGCAGTTGGTCAAATTCTGGGTCCTCATCTTGTCCTCCCCAAGGTTGTGTGGGGGATACAATGGGGTCAATCTCAATTTGCTCAGTACCGGTTCGAATGACCTGCATGGTGCATAAGGTGTGCGGCCCAATTTTCACTGAGATCTCTCCACATGGCAAATCATCCCACATGATGTCTGACGGGATATTCTGCCCTTCAACCAACAGCTTGAGAAGCGGTTCATGATATGCTGCCAAATCCAATGCCTCAAGGAGTTGTGCAATGACTGTCCAGGTGTCTGGCACATTCAGCGGTATCAGACTCAAATCATCACAAAACCGAATCATCGATCTTCCAGCAAGCCAAGGTTGCCACGTCACATGCTCGGAAGTGCTTTGGCCACAAAGTCAGCAAAGGGCTGCAAGACATTGACGAATCAACGCTTTGTCAACTGTAAGCCTGTCATCCCAGCATTGTTGAATGAGAGCCAGCTTAGGAGGTGATTCTCCAGAGACTCCTTCAAATGCAAAGAGGATTGCCACTAATGCATGAATCTGGGATATATTCTTTTGGCAGTCGCCTATTGGGACAACACCCGATCTGCCTCATCGCTCTTGCTCCTGATGCGCAAGGCTTCCACAAACGCTATCACCTCGCTGTGGCCCCTGACAATTGGATGGCTTGTGCAGACAAGGAGTCTTGGCCCTGCCAGGATGCGAAGAACTTGATTGTGAAAGTCCATGAGTATGTGGCCAAAGCTGCGGAAAATCAGCAGGCGAAGCGTGTGCGGCTTGATGGCCACGCGCTCTCGGCTTTCCGTGCCCTGGGGAGGGCATTGGAGACTTGGCTTGGCAGCAACCGATGTGAGGAGCACTTCCAGGCCATTCTTTCTTGCATCAACAAGCCGCAATCTTTCCATGCCCGTTATGTATATAGACTGCAGTCCAGTTTCTTGAACAGATCCGCCTCGCTGTGGCCAGGTCAAGCTCGGGTTCTACAGGAGCGACCTCCTTCGATTGTGCAACTTTGTTCGCCGCATCGTCCAAGCACTTTCGCAGGACTTGTCTGGCAAACCTTGAAAAGTCCCGGTAGCGTGTTCAATTGCGTATCGCCCATAACGCGCAATCTCTGCTGTAGGAAGAAGACTCCGAACGGCCCGTGCGCATCGAGGAACTCTTCATGGCCATGCACGCCCTGCGGCGACAATGGCATTTGCATCGTGGGCTGGTGCGAGCAGCAGCGTCCATCCCCGGAAACAAGGCGCCACAAGACCTTCGCAGCGGACCCTGCGTGCCATTGACGGCCGAGCAGATCCTGTGCAAATCAATTCTCACCGATTGTAGTCAGGCACTTAAAGCTGCAGCCCACAAAGCTAGTCTGAACTCGCTTAGTCTGAACTCAGATCAGCGCAACCCCATGGCCCAAGGTCCTGATGCACAATTCACTTTGTCGTCGCTGCGCAAGAAGTTCAAGAATCGACGCCAGCAGGCTTTCCGTAACAACCTAGGCGAGAAGCTGCTTAGCTGATTTGTTGATATTTTTTCGTTGGCACGATTGGTTGGTTCAGAGGAGACAGGATACATTTTTGGGGGGTGCCCGGCGACGATCCCTTCCTTTCGGATACTTTTCAGGGGACACTGAAACGCAAACTTGAAAAAATTGTGATTTTTCAATTTCACTTTTTTTCAAGTTTGCCCAGCCACTGCCTGGTGATGCTGGTGATGCTGTTTTGTCCTGGTGCATTGTTCGAAACTGACTGCGGTCGACCGCGACAACCCGTTTGTAACCCGTTTGTGTGACTCGCTTGTATAGTTTAAGGACATTTCAGGGTTGTCTAAAAGGACATTTTCAATCCCAAACAGTTTCAAAACGACTCGTTAGGACCAACGTTAATCAAAAACGATTTCTTGGTACGCCCTACCTTCCCCACCAAGAGTAAACTGCTTCAGCCCTGATTTTGTCATTTTTGATCGGCGTCGACATCGCTTTTTGATCGGCTGCACTCCTCTCCAGCTGTTCAGCTGTTGGCCATATTCAGGAAAAGTTCAGGGGTGCAGCCCGTCAGTGTGGCCAGGGCTGGTCAGCGCGGCCAGAGAACAACAGCAGGACAAGAGCAGGAGAACAGCAGGACAAGAGAAGACAAGAGGAGCACAAGACCCGGCCACAGCACCCGGCCATAAAGTTCAGGGGCGCGGGCAGTCAGCGTGGCACGGAAGCAGACCTTCAGGACGCGGCCAGTCAGTGTGGCCAGGGCTGGTCAGCGCGGCCAAAGAACAATAGCAGAACAAGAGAAGGACTAGAGAAGGGCAAGAGCAGGAGAACTGCAGGACAAGAGTAGACAAGAGGAGCACCGGCCATAGAACCCGGCCACAGAGTTCAGGGACGCGGCCAGTCAATGTGGTCAGGGCTGGTCAGCGCAGCCAGAGGACAACAGCAGGACAAGAAGGCCAGCTCTTTTTTTGTAAGAGGTCGTGTTGACACGCAGTTCTTTAGAGGCAACGTGTGCTCTCACCCACATCACAAAAACCAGGTTGAAAGCTGCGTTCGCAAAGCTTCAAGCAGCAGGCCTTGTAAAGCTTGTGGAGGGTGCAGAGGAGGGGCCAGATGCAGACGATGAGGTCGTCACCCGCCAGAGTAAGAAAGCGAAGAAGGATGGGTCGAAGTGGCTGTTGCTCCCAGGAGTTTTTCAGAAGACCTCGCTGACTGACCAGGAAGGAAATAATTCAGCCATGAGTTGCAGGGCTGAGCTAGGAGTGGAGGCCACGTGCTTTCCTGCGTAGGCTTTAGGTGGCACTAGCTGTGAGTTGAGTGCGCAACTTACAGAGTGACTGATGGGTTCAGTCCCAGACTGCAGTGGCTGACAAAGGGAAAGTTAGAGAGAACATCTCTGCTGCGGGGTTGTTGTTTGCAGAATCATCAGCTCCAGCATGGAAAGCTGTGCTGGACTTAAGTTGTTGTGGTGATGCCCACCGCGTGCGCCGTCTCCAGGGGTCCAGCAGCGGAGCGTGGAAAATGTCGACCAGGATCAGAGTGCCTGACTAAAGCCAACACCTCATGGTTGGCATCGAAGCGCTTGTCATCTTGAAAGTAGTTTATCGTATATTTTCTTAATACAGAATACAATGTCATTGGATGATGTCATTGGAGTGGATTTTTTTGCGGCTCTTTCTCTCTCTCTCTCTCATATCTCTCTGTGTCCAGAAAGTTCGGGATTTCAGCCCTTTCACATAGATCTCGTCCGGCTCGGTTTGTGTCCGTTTCTGCAAATCTCAACTGGCGACAGGTCTCAAGCAGCGGGACGATGCAGCCAACGAGCGCAGCTAGATGCGACTGGAGCAGCAGGTCGATCCTACTTTCGACATAGAGAAGCCGAGCCTGTTATGTTTATAAAGCGTTGACCCTACAATGTTGTGTGTATACAGGGCAGGTGCGTCTTTTGAGAGTCATGGAACCTATATAAAATGAGCAACCTATGGTGCCATACAACCTTTGTTCTTCTCTGCTATTATTGAAAGCACGCGCTATAGCAAAGAGACATAAGGAGACTATGGTGCCACGGTTTCGCTCGGTTCCCGGAACGATCCTCGCAGGTGTGCTATGGACGTCTCCTTTTCTACACCAGCCAATGAGCCCCTCGGGGGTCGTGAGGGGAGGGGGGCGAGACGGGGGTCGATCGGACGGTGCGTTCGGACAGTTCGCGAGCGGGTCAAGACTTGTTTTGTGCTGCATTTCATGCAAGCCCCTCCTTAGATGTGTTGATCAACTCAGGTGATTGTTTTCGTGTTTTTTTTTGGTGTGCGGAATGGTTCTGTTGCTGGTGTGTTGTTCTGGTCCTTGAAGCGAGCGTTGGCAAACCAAGACGGAAGCCATACATAGGCTTTGTCACTAGTCAAATAAGATCCCACCTTTTTTTGGCCTGTTGCGACCAGGAAATACAAAACCACCCACTAGCTAACGAAGCAAGTGCGCCAGAATAAGCTTATAGGTCAGTGCCAAGGATGCGTATTACACCCTACCATGGCCTGTTGATGTTCTTTCTGTTGATGTTCGATCCTCCTACTGGAATCTACTTCACACTCTCCGACACGCTCAGTCAGTCCGTCGAGGTCTACATCGGGCAAAGCGTCGGGGTCGTGCCCAGCAGTAGTATCTACCACCTGCTGCGTGCAATGTGCTCCTTGGAGAAACACGGCGGGGTATTGAGCCGGGGTTGGAAGAATTAAAGAATGGAATGGACACTGGAGAGCAAAGGCCAGAGTGGAATTTCACTATTGAAATCTATTGTAGGGTAGGAATTTCACCTCTACAAGACTAGGGGTGAAGAGTGAACTAAGGTTGACAACACGTTGAACTAGCACTAAGGTTACCTAGGGTTGCCAAGTCAAGCAACAAATACACCGTTTTTTCTCTGCAGCCATGCGAGATGCTACTGATACCCAGTTGGGCAACCCATGTTGTTGTCATCCCGGTCGGTTGGAGGGTCTGCGCCATGCCCAGGAGGCACGCCGCTCGCGGGAGCGCCTGCGGCAGTTGGCCACGCCTCAGGGTGCCCAGGTGCGCCGTGGTGGCACTCCGTGGGGGTGCGCGCGGGGGGGCAAGCGCGGTCCTGGTGGTGGAGGGATCTGCAGTTCACACCTGGCTTGCTCGTGCATTTGGCAGATTTAATTCGGATTTGGTCGCAAAACTTGGAAGTTGACTGAGAAGGAGTTGTCTCCATTGGAGCTAGATGGGGTTATACATGGGAACAGCAGTTTTCACAGTTGTTCAGAGGCTGTGTTTCAATTCAGGGCTGACATCCCACACACACGCATACATTCTTGATAACCTGTAGGGACATAGACACCTGCCTCAAGCGTCGTTCGGCCAGTGAAAAGATTTGATGGATCCAGAGTTCATCCAATGTTCATCCATTTAAAAGGGTCACCAGCTGTCACAGCAGCTGTCACAGTAGCTGCCACCAGTGTTTTGTTACTTTCTTCTCTCCCCAAAAGGTGCTGCAGCGGCTCAGCTTTCGTTACTTGGCCTCTGGTGACTCTGCCCGGGCTCTGGAAGAGTTGGAGCCTTGGAACGCACGAGAGCCAACGGGAGCCAACGAGACCGATACAGAGCGAGAAGGGGAGCCAAAGCCATGAAGTCTCTGCCATGGAGTCCACGAAGAATCAAACTTGTTTTTTTCACGAAAGGTAGCCTGGTAAGGACTACCTTGAGTTTGCTTTGCGAAGCAAAGGGACTGGCTTGAGAGCTTGCTCGGGACTAAAGATTGGTAGATCAATGTCTAACACCCCCACCCCCCCCTCCCCCCCCCTCCCCATGTGATGAATGATTGATAAATCAATTGATTCGACCCCCCTCCACTCCCCTCCCCGTCCCCTCCCCTCGTCGCCAGCACTACTAAATTCTGGACATAAGGTGAAGTCATGCGCTTAACAGTCACAGCAGTACGACGCTGGCCATGAGGTTGCGCAATACAGCACGAACCCTGCGCAATGAGGTCGCGCAATGCAGCTTCGATGCCGCACGTGCGCACCCGGCAGCCTGACACAGCGCGTACTGCGTTCACAGACCATATTGCTCGACACCAACGAGCATCGATGCAACACGGCCTCTCTGCAAAGAACCCCTCGCGTCGCGGAACAGCATTCGACTCAGCCTTATACCCTAGCGTGGCGAAATCTCACCGCATCGTGGAGCACACCCACCATAGCGTGACGTCCATCCCTGGCAGTACCGGCTGCACCCCTCCAGCACTATCCTTACAAGGGGGTTGGTCACTGAGTCACTGCAGCTTCGACGCAACGCGCGCAGGCCTGTAATCCTGACACAGTGCGTGCAGCTGTGGGACCATAGCTGGTACACATGCGAGCGTTTACGCATTGCGACTTTTACGCGCGCCTGTTTTCACACACCTGGACACAAACGAACGTCGACGCAACGCAGCCTCTCTGCAGAGCCGTGTGGCGCAATCTGACCGCAACGGTGTTCCTCTTGAGCCTTCTTATGCCTTCTTGTGCTCTCTGGCTTTGTTGGTTTCATCCTTGATTGACCAAGGGGCACGTTCCTGAAACACCGGAGACAGTCCCTCACCAGAAAAGGTCCCGACAGCTACTCGGTCCGTCTCTACCTTTCGTGTTTCCCCGCTCAAGTTAAAGTCTTTTCTGGCGGTGGGTAATGCCCCAAGCCTGACCTCCTGTCAAAGAGGCTCCTGCCCAATGTTCATCGCCCCAACCTTTTGACCCAGATCCACAGGACAGCTCGCTCTATGAGTTGGTGAAGCAACGTCTGAGCCTTGCGCGCTGCGGCGTTGCCAAGCAACCTCCTCCGTGTTGGGAGCAGGTGATGAGTGGTGGGAGTGTGACGAAGGCTTGGGGTGAATGACGGAGGCCTAGGGTGAAGACATCCACACATTTCGAGGTCGCACATCTTTCGTAATCTTTCCAGCTTGTGAGATGGGTTCAGTGAGCTTTCTGCGAGGTCCCGTCAACCATGCACCCACTTCCACGCGAAAAATTCGTTCGTCCCCAGCCCCTTCATCGTGGCTGCTCGTATGGACTGGTCTGCGATGCTGGTGGGAACTATGATATATGGACTTGCAGAGGGCCCTAGGGGAGCAACTTGACAATGAAGATGGTGTAACTACATATGGAGAGCCATCATAGGTATAGGCCATATGTTGCATATATGCCGACCGTCTACATGTCTAGCGCAAATGTGTAAACACCTAGGTGAAAGAGGAACCTTATAAGTGATAGCACAGGGTACGGTGGGCTGTGACTGCAACAGATCCATGCATCCAGCCGCTATGATGGTTACATGAAGTGATCTCGGCTGTTCCCTCACGAACCTCGCCTACGGCCCCGGTCAAAGTTGTTTCAAGTCATCATCCTGGCCTCTCTGTTCAGGACGACGTCCCTTTGCCATTCACCGCCGCCTGCGTGAAGAAATCACCATCAGGAGAATGGGGGTGAGAGAGTGTCGGGAAGGAGGCGGCTCTGTGAGGTCTCCTACGAAACTATTGCTTGCAGTGGGCTTGCGTGCCCCATATCTACAGGACGAGTCTGGAAGTATCCATTGTACATATATATATATATATAAACATACATACATTCATATATATATATATACATATATATTTCATCACACGCTTGATGTGATTGTATCGAAACCATGCGAACACCAAGCTGGCACTTGTCTCTGACGTTTTATGGCGCAAGATCTTGTGATTTCATTTACCGTCCATCTTAGTTTTGCTTTTTTGCACATGGCTGTAAAAAGATGGAAAAACAAGCCAAAAAGTTGGCGACAATTGAGCCGTGACAACGCCCAGCCGGCGCCCAAGATTGGTGAGAAAAGGCCAGTGATCGGTCACACAGACGAACCTGCCAGCAAGAGATCCAAGAAAAACAGCAAAGCAAGCCGGCCTGCTTGCTCTTTGCCTCAAGCATCCCAGCAAGATGAGGAGATTCTCACAACCGAACGCGCACGACAGAAACAAGAAAGAGACCTACGCAAAAATGTAGGGTCAGTGCACCAGATTGCGCTACACTTGAGAGCAGGGCGCACATTGCCCAACCTCCTCAACCTGCAAAGATTCAGCTTGCTTTCACCGCTCAGTTCAATGAGTTCCGCGGGTACTCACATCTCGCCCGCTGTCGGCTTCTCCGCTTTGCATCAGGGAGAGCCTGTGATCATTTTGGATTCTTACAAATGCCGTGGAAAAATGTGGTGTGATGTGGCGCCCATCGTGGCCAAAACAGGGCCCAAACAAAGCACGCATAAGGTGCTGCGGACGAAGGTCTTTTCGTGCCAAGAAACCTCATTGCACCATGTCGGCATCCACTACCGGGTCACTGTCATCCGGAAAAATGTGCCATGGCTGACACAAGTCAACAACGACCAGGACAGGCATCTGGCACAGGAAGAATTGATTTCTGGCCAGAGGCTAGGCGCTTGGAAATGCGCAGGGCCCCCACTAGAGACGCTCAGTTCTGAGCAGCCAGGGGAAAATCGGAGCGACAACACACGGCAGGTGCAGCCAAAGTCAGCCGGTGCACATTCTGAGGCTAACAACCACAAGATTGCGCCAAGAGAGGCTGGAAAAAATACCACAAAGGTTGTTTGGCAATTACCAGAGCCAGTAGTTCTAGACTGCAGACCATGGCGCTGCCTTACATGTAAAGACCGGCCTCCCCCAACAGCTTGTGATGATCAAGCGCCACAGTCAGTGCACTACTACAAACCAACACCCGAAGACATTCGATCGGTGATTCCTGAAGCGTTACTCTTTCACAGGCCGAAGATCGGCCAGATTTGGCTCCACCCAACTTTTCTGCTCCACTTGTTGCGCTTCCTGTATGAGACTATGAGCTTTCGAGAGAGTCGTCGCAAGATTGTTGACGTCCTGTTGACTCATGCCGTCTCTGCGCCTGCTTCCACCCATGCCCGCAACATTCGGGTCTTGTTGGCAGCGCTCCCAAGCGCGCATCAATTGGCGACCCTAGCGAAAGCTGTTTTTCCATCCATCCTTGCTCCACGAGTCCAGCATTTGACAGCCTTGCAAGCCATATACAATGGCCCGGGACTCCGCATCGATGGTCACTGGAAAAAAGCAAAAACCATCACCGTCTATGAGCCAGGCAACAGGCGTAAACGCAGACATCCAATGACATGCCTGTTTGCCATCTGTGGCACTGACGGCAGTCTTCTCAGCCCTGTGCGGGCCACTCGTTCAGAAAGCTGGGAGGATATTTCCCCTTTGCTGCGCAAAGTGCTGCATGACCTGGTGGTTGCCAGAACAAACGCAAGTTTGCCCCTGCAGCATGCACTTCCAGCATTTGTGGCCACAGACTCCTATCACAAGCATCAACGACTGCTCGCAGAGCTGTGCCAATCCTTTGGGCAAGAACTCCGGATACAATCCAAGGCAAACACGCCTAAAGGCAGTCCTAACAGGGTCGCCGACATCTTAGACCCCCAAGAGGCCGCTTGCACAGTGATCGCAGGTGAGCCCTACCATGATGTGATCAACGCACGCAAGTGTGTATCGCCCAAGGCTAACGATGCCATTCATTTCATCCATGATCACGAGCAAATGCTGTGCCGCCTGTCAGCAAAGCCTCAGCCACAAGATGTTGCAGAGCAAACTCCAGCAAAGCCGCCTGCGGCAATGGAAGTCCAAGACATTATCCAAGCGTGTCTCCGAATGCGAGTGGCACAGTTTGCTACCTTCAAGGCCACGTGTGACCAAGTCTCCTTGGTCAAGCTTCGCGACTTCCTGGCGTGTCCACATGTCCGCACACACAAGGACTGGTGGAAAAAAGTCTGCGGGGCCGACCCACCCCGCCCAGTTCTGGCACGACTGGCGAATGCCGTGGGGGGTCGTTTGCACACATGCAACGGCTATTGGAATTACCAAGACAAGAGAAACTTTAAGAAGGAGGTGCGCAGGATGTCTGCTTGGTACCGAGCAGGTCGCCAGACAACCAGACCTCGCAAGGGGCTCCTACGCATCAGGTCCTTCACCGCCCTGCATGTAAAGGGTCAAAAGAGGGTCTGGAATGCTAAGTTGGCCAAGCATTACCAACGCCTCCTCATGAAGACCCGAGTTAGAGGCCTCATGCACTGGCGACGTTGCGCCCTCGCCTTGCACATGGCAGGGATTCCAGTACAGAGCGGTACAATCCCTGTAGAGCGCCACTGGGCTGCCTTTAAGGCGTACTTTCCAAGTGCACAGAAAACCCTGAAGCAGGACACATTTAATCTGCTCTCCGATCTGGCATTCCTGCGCTTTAACTGGAGCCACTTCAACAAGCCAGGTTTGCCAACATGGACGGAGAAAGATGTGATCCTGGCCCAAAGAGCAGGTGAGCTTCTCCAGTGGCTGCACCACTCACAGGGAGGGCAAGCAAACCCACTGATCGATGAGATCTTGGGAGCTTGGCCCAAAGTCCAGGAAGGCAACAAGCAGCCTAAGAACGCAGGGCAGGCGCAAGTGTAAAGAGGTCCTCCCAGCGACACGTTTCCTAGTAAAGTAAACAGAATTGTTTGGATTAAAAGTAAGTTGCTGCCCGTTCTATCCCATCCGCTGCGCAAGGAGCATATCAGCCCTCAAGAGGCTACCGAAGTGCCCCTTTGCATCTTGGAGCGCGTTGCGGAGATGGGACATGCTTTGAGCGAAGAGACATAATACAGGGGAGAATGCTTCTACCATCTTTCTAGGCGCATGTTTTTGTCGTCTGTACTCAAGATGTGATCCACCAAGAAATCAAAAGTCTTGTTTTTGGGGGAAGGAGGCCGCCTGCTAGTCAATGCTCCCGGTGGTTTTGGAAGAGACAGGGAACCATTCTAAGGGATACACCAGCTCTGACATCTACTCTTGGCGGAAGCATTTTTCACGCACAGGGCACGCAATCTTGAAAAAACGGTGATTTTTCATTTCATTTTTTTTTCAAGTGTGCCCGCCCACTGCCCGATGATGCTGGTGATGCTGCTGGGTCCTGGTGTGTTGATCACCAGTCAGCCAAAACTGCAGCCTCAGGGTTGAAGCTCCCAATCTACAATGATCTCGTAAAGGTTTGGCTTAGGCCAGGAGCCTTGCAGCCAAAAGACCAGGGGCGCCTTTGCGGGGGAATCTTGAGACCGTGCTACTTCTGGCGGGACCAGATAGATACATGGAGAGTGAGGGGGAGAGAGAGAGAGAGAGAGAGAGAGCGAGAGAAATCAATAGAACCCAGCCAGGATCCATGGACCATAAAGAAAAGATAGACGTATTCTGGACAGGCGGTGTCCAGTCGGTGATTAAGGCTGTGGAGAACCCTCGATCCACTGCCCAAGCGAATCTTTGGTTGCCGCGCTGCCACAGTTTCTGGGCTGCCGCAGGGGTTGACTGAGATGCGGGGTGGTTTCGTCTCTGATACGCGTGGCGGGTGTCAATTCGCCTAATAACCCTAATAAGCTGCTGTGGGCCAGGCCTCGCAGTGATCGACGCACTCTAGGATGATTATGTTTTGAGGTTGTCCAACTACGTGTTGCATTCAGTAAGCAATGATCGCCGTTTAGACGGCAGGTCTTTCTAGACCATGATCGTCATTTTTTATTGGAAATAGGCCAGACCCAACCTGTGTTGATATATTCAGGAGAGTTCTGCAGGATTGTTCCAATTTTATACTACCAGAGGTTTTTGGGACAGGCTTCCAACGTCCCTTGGCGTAGAGTACTTTTCATGCTGATGCTACAACGGAAGAGGGTGTTCTCGACCGCGCCTCGAGAAGAAAGCAGCGGTGTAAAACGCTGTAGCGCCTGACCCAAACACATGCAACTATACCCCCCGTGAAGTCAACGGATAATAAACACCATTTTAATATCATCAGGATGTCAGGAAGGCCACCCCAGATTATATACACGTACACAGTAGCCACCACAGATTATATAGTGACTAGTGACTTCCAAGACAGTGCAAGGGTCTTCCGGGCTCATCCCGGGAAAGTTACAAACCTGGCGATAACACCCAGCTGACCTCAGCCTTCCTGAGCACAATGGTCAAGAAGAAGCCCAGCGCACACGGTGGTCCACGTGTAAATGCCGGACGCAGACCTACAACTTTGAAGACCACGTCAGTGGTGAAGCACTCAGCTTTCAAAGTCCGGGACCTGCTTGGGGCCAACGATGGCCGCCTGTGCCAGGAAGATTTCGATCCAAAGGTCCCTACTACCTTCTTGACCATTGTCACAGTCATTTTTATCGTGACAAGGGTCTTGATGGATCACGTAGCCGGCGCCATCGACTTCACAAAGATAGAACTCAAGTTCGGAGGCAGGCAAGAGCAGTTCTACCGGAAGGCTGTTCTAGTCGTCGCACAGGCACGGAACGGTATGCGGAAGCTATCTGCTCCAGTGACGCTGCGAGAGTCGTGCCGCGAATTTATTGGTCGACATTGCACTTTACCAGAGGTAATGTTCTGTTCGCAGCTCCACAGTGTCCGGCCATCAGCAGAGGACCCTTTCACCAGAGCGTGTGTCCAATGGCTCAGAGAAGTGTTGCGCGACGAGCCCCGCAAACTCTCTCAGTACGAGTGGCTTACTCTAAAGTGCTTTGGCCGGCTGCGACAGGCTGCGGCCGTTTCTCTCTTGCTGCCCGCGTCCAGTAACTATGTGGGCTTCTGCGTCATTGAAACGGCCGCCCAGCTTGGCACTTTCATTGGGGCACAGGATGCTGTCGAATGGCAACAGCAGCAAACCCAAGAGATGAGCAGAGTTCCAGGAACCAACTCCCAGAAGGCAAGCGTCTGCTTGTCTCTCGCGTTTGCTCTGCTGCGCTCCGGTACTTTCCTCCATGATATTGAAGCTTGCCAGACATACTATGACCTGGTCAATGCTTGGCAAGCTTTGCCTGGGAATGGAAAGTTCACCGCCAAGAATTGCGTGGAAGCGGCTCTGAACGCAATTCACTTCGCAGGCTATGATGCTGGCACCTTGGGTCCTTCGTTACCAGCTCTTCTAGCAGACTACTGGAAGGACCCAACTGCTGTCATGGGGCCTGGGCCATCCGCGTTGGCGTCCTTATTCTTTGGAGAAGAATGGGACATGGGCAACTTCGAAACAGTTCGCCGTGCCGTCAACGAATTGATGGGCGGCTGTGAAGTTTGCTACAATGCAGTAGTAATAAAGCCAGGCGCCCTCACCGGACCACAGATGCAGTCTGTGTGGTGTAAACTGAAGGGTGCTCTGGATGACTACTGCAAGCACTCCCTAGGCTGCCATGCTCGCCAGGAGAAAGCCACTGCAGCAATACCCATGTCAGAGGAGCGCCGTTGGCTACGGCTTGCGTCGCTGTGTGCAATTTAAGTTGGTGCTGGATCTCAATCTCACCTTGCGGTAGTCCTTCCTTTGTATGCACAATGCTGTGCGTGCTGAAGTGAGTCTGATCAAACACGGGGGAATGCTACCGGGCTTAGCCAGTCCATCCATCTTTGTTTCACCTGGTTTGGTCGGCTCGTTCCACTTGCGTTGGGCTGTGCGGGTTAGGTCGCATGCCGCGGCATCCACTATGTTCAATCATGTCCTCCAGTCTTCGCAGCAGAGATAACGTTAGACATCGCGCGGTCGGCTTTTCCACTGATGTTTCATACAAGCTACCAAGTTTCTGGAAACCATCTAAGGATGGCATTGCTTAACACCACTAAACACCGAACCCGGATTTGCTAGGGGGCCAGGCGGATCAAGAGACTTACTGTAGTCACGGAGCTGAACATATACTAGGCCGGTGGTACTGCCATAATTTCCCGGTGCAAACGCAGTGTATCTTTTCAGAGCCAAAGACAACGTACCTCCAGTGCATTCAGGTCAACATCGATTTTCGACAACTGCAGTGGTCCATTTCAACCAATCAACTTCCGGAGAATCGAACCTCTGAAGCCATTTTTCTACATGTACATAATTTTAATGCATATAGTTTTATTTCCCTACCAGGGTCACAAAGGGGTGGTTTTTTAGTCCTTTGGTCACCTGTTCGCGACTGCTGGTAGCATATGGTAGGGTCACTTTGGTCGCTGGCCCAGGTCATCCAAAGCATGCACCTGCCGCCCCTCGTGCCCCTGTCGGCACCTAAGCCGCCCGACAACCAGGAGGGGCACCGTGCTAAGAAAAGGGCGATGTGGCTGTGGGTCTTTCATCCAAGAGATCCCAGGTTTTTCCACCGAACATGAATAGAAGAGACATGAAGCGACTAGTTGTTTCAGAATAGATGGCACAACCCCCAAGTTGGGTGGTTCAGTAGTGGATCCTCTATCTTGGGTCGGCATCTTCGGGTGGCCAGTACCATCTGAAACCACTGCCATGTCCATGGTCAAGTTACAGGCGTTTGGTCCAGGTGTTTTGACCGTTAAACATCATCTCATAGAAATGGACCACTCAACAAGCTAAGAGTTTTGAATTGTGTTTCCATGTAAAGAATTGAATTGAGGTTCTTCGACATTTACTGTTTGAGTTTCTATCCATGAGGAAAAATGCGAAGAACATGCAACATGTGAACCACAGCAATGCCAGATAATCATAGGGAAACAGTCTTTTGCTACCTGCTGCAGACATCTACCGGTACCATCCGCTGATCATTCTTTGGTGCCCACTAATCTTATGGCCAACGGTGGCCAACGCATGCCAAAACTACTAGCTACCAAGTCCAAGCGGTCTTGGCCAGCAGTGGGAGGGGCCAGGAAACCTTCAAACCCGCCCATGGTCCGACACTTGGTTGGATCGAACCCCTATCCGATCGGAGGGTAGTTCACACCTCCCCCAAACATTCAAAAAATGGCTGGCATCACAGCCCATGAGTCGACAGGTCACATTTTGGGGTACACATTTCGTGAAGTCAGTGCACAAAGTTACTTTGTTCCTATTTTTTCTTGGGCATGAGTCGGAGACCCCTGCGCCTCAAATCCGGCCGACAGACGGTCCAGCTGACAGATCTCCAGAGACGGGCGCTTCCAGTGCCTCCGGCCGGGGAAGAGATGTGACATGGGATGCGACGTGGAGTGTATCAATCAGACGCAGCATGCGTTCAATCCAATCTTCAATGGTTTTAAGGCTCAGCATCATCAGAGATGGTGTGTTGAATAATTTACGCCTAGGGCAGCGCGTACAACACACAGGTAAACCACCCGCTCGCTCTCTTTTTACACCATCCATTCGACAGGCTTCTCCAAAGCATACGTGCAGCCAAACTGCACACTGTACGCGGAATTGCGTGGGAGAGCAGGGTTTGTGATGTGAGACTTATCAATTCAATCAGAAATCTGGGGCTTACATAACCATCCGACCCTGGGAGAGTACATATCCTCCTGATATTTGCTAATGTTTAGTTGTTGCTTGCTTGCTCTGAAGGGCTCTACAGGCCAAAAACATCACCGCTCATTCACATGATTCAGAGACAAAACTATAGTGATTTTACTTATAACTTGAGTCTTTCAGACACCTATGTCTTTGCAATGTTTTAGCGATAGAGGACGTCCTACTAACGATACCTCCAAGACTTGCATTGCAGCCAGTGAGATGGAAAGATCCTTAAAGAATTGTCGCGGCTTGGAGTCGTTTTGTACGCATACCGAAAATCTACTGAGCTGAACCTTGATCATGGCCAGAGCTCGGGAAAGAGTGCGGAGCCGTTAATCCTTCCACGTATCGGACATTGTAATGCTACCCCTACGGTCACCCAACGATACCTGTTGCTGTCTGCTGCTGCTTGCTTCTGCTTGCTGTTGCTGGCATGCCAGTGTTGCTGGTTCTGCTTTGCTGGTCTGCTGGCGGCTTGTTCCTGCTGCCGCTGTCGCTGTCGCTGTCGTAGCCGGTTGCTGCTGCTGCTCCTGTTGCTGCTGCTGCGCGCCTTTGCTTGCTGGTGTTGCTGCTTCTGGCTGGCTGCTTTGCTTCTCGTTTGCTGCTGCTTTTGCGATGCTGGCTGCCTGCTTGCTGCTGCTTTTGCAAGTGCTGGCCGGCTGTGCTTCTGCTGGCTGCTGCTGCTGTTGCTTGCTCCTGCTGGTTTGCCGGGGTTGCTGGTCTGCTATTGGTCTGCTGCTGGCTTGTTGCCGCTGGTTTTGCTGGTGCTGGTCGCCTGCCTGCTGCTGCTTGCCAGTGCTTGCTGCTTTGCTGCTGCTGCTGC